GGGGGGAGACTTCTTAATATCTTCTCAACAATCTTCTTATCCTCTATTTTATCCACATAGCTTCTAATTTGATTAATAATTGAGATAACTCTATTAGAAAATTCTTTCACGGATTCATTATCTTTCATCTTTATGTTGTCAAAGTCTCTCCATAAAGATTGTAGTTTGATAGAGATTATCTTATCGCAGCCCTTGAATTCTTGTTTGAGTATGTCTCATGCATCCTTTGATTTTAACGTGGACATTATTCGGGGAAAGATTACTTTACTTACCCCTTGTTGGATAAAGAGAAGCGTCTTCGCATCCTTTTTCTTGTTCTCTTTATACTCCTTTTGCTTTGCTGGTATCCATGATGCTAACATTGCTGAGTCATCTAGAACTTCATAGCCTTCTTCGACAAGCTCCCAAAGTTCTTGAGAGATGAAGAGTGTCTTCATTTGGAGGCTCCAGAAGTCATAGTTTTCATCATAAAAAATGGGGACTAAGTTTTAAGAGTAGTTAAAAAGAGAAGGGGCAATTGGTGATGAGACTGATATTTAGAATGGTAGTAAAAGGCTAAATGCTTTCAAGATTGATTTGAGGTGTAAAAGGATGGCTCTGATACCAAATTTGTTGGAGTTGAGGAAGCGCGATGGATTGAGAATGGAGAAAATAGGAGGAAAAATGAGAAGAGGCTAAGAACTTGAAGAAACTTTGTATGAATTGTTTCAAAGTTTGATTACAAAGCTTACGTTCAAGGCTATTTATAGGCTCACAAGGAAATTCTCTAGAATATTTAGATTTTTCATGATACGTCAAAATTCTAGAGAATTCTATATAATTCTACATACATCCATACTTAATATATTTTCTTCCTCGATTATTCTAGATATTTCTACTTTACATACTTTTTTACAAATATCCTAGAGTTTTATAGAATTATAAATTATCTTCTAACAATCATAACTATCCACATGCGAGCTGGTAGTTGTGTGCCATTCAAGGAGATGACAATGAATAACTTGTTTGTATACAAACTTTTAATCTGAACTACTAAGCATGCAGTAATAACAAGAATATCGACATCCATAAGATTTTTTGTCACACATAGGCTAACTCGATGTTGAGTCCAAATCACATCAAGACTATCGATATATGGTTAGTTCTAATGCTATTCAGGGGGTGAAGAGGTTTATATTGGAAATTTCTCCGCCCTTTTTAAAATAATTTTTTTCTTATTTGATCTTAGTCTACCTCATTTGGTCTAAACTAAGAACCATGGAAGCAACATGATATGAAAACTATCCTTGATGGATGGGTCAATATTAATATTAATACAAATAGTAGATTCTGTTCATTTATTAATGTGTTGGTTTTATTGTTGTTAGGTTTCAACCCCTACTTGCTCTATTAACTAATGAATTTGTCTCCTCTTAATACCCCTTGAACTATATTATATCCTACTTTGGCCCCTAAACTGCTAAATTAGATTCCTAGAACTATTTTCAATGCCACATTATTCACTGAACTATTAAATTTGTATTTGCTTATTCATTAAACTATCAAATCCAATATGGTAGTTACCACCTTTAGTTTATTAGTTTGTGGATATTATACTCCTTTTAAAAGTACGAGTTCGGAAAAATCTTTCGGCAGACAAAAATACTCTTGAAATTTAAATATTAATCCATTAAGTAAGTGTAAGTTAATAAATTGATGAATTCTTATTGGATATACATAGTATGAAGATAGGGATATAGTTTAAATTGAAATGTAAACTTGAATAAAATTATTAAATGTCAACTTTACAAATGTATACGAGATGAAGTGCGTATATGCAAAATCCAAACAAATCAACGAGACAAATAATGTCTTCCCCAAAGGTCAAACCTAGGAACAGCACAAACCTATAAATGTACATAATATGGATGAGATATTTACAAAATCCACCAAACAAATTAAAAAGACAAGAGTTGTTCTCAAAATTATAAAAAAATTTAAAATAAATGGCTACGATCTGAGGACACAACATGGCGATCTCTCACTGACTAAACTTCAAGTAGTTCACGGTACTGCATAATTAGTTTTAAAGCTTAATTATACTATTATTATTTAAATAGAACTTTATTTATAATTATTATTCTTTCACATGCAACATCGATCACATGCCAATATAAGCCAAGAAATTACAATAACTTTCATAACACTTTCATCTCTTTCTATAGATATGTGCCTTTGTTATTTTTTTCTTATTAGACTAGATTAGATTATTTTAAAACAATTAATTATATCGCATATTTATTTTTCTATATTAATAAATAACAATAATTTTCACAACACTTTTATCTATTTTTTATTAGATTAGATTAAATTATTTTAAAGTAATTAATTATATCGTATGTTTGATCTTTTTTATATCAGAAATTACAATAATTTTCATAACACTTTCATCTCCTTCAACAGGTATGTACCTTAGTTATTTTCTTCTTATTAGATTAGATTATTAGATTATATTGTTTAAAAATTATGAATTATGAAATTGTAATAATTTTTTATCACTTTCATCTATTTTCATCTTATTAGATTAGATTAGATTAGTTTAAAGTAATTAATTATATTGTATATTTGATCTTTTTTTAGATCATAAAGTTTAATTATACTATTATTATTTAAATAAATACTATTTGTATAAAAGTCAAAAAGAATCTCACATATATTTTAGATCTTAGTGCTAATTGTAATGCTTACATATTAGTGTTGGTTAAAATAAATTTCATGTATGGGCTTAACTTATATGATCCTACTTTAACCGGACTAGATAATTTATTTTATTCACCCAAACTCTTCCACAAATCTAAAAAAGAATAGTAATACTATAGCTATATATATTCATAGGATTACATATATCTTGAAAATGAACGAAGAAAACCACACAAACAAAAACCATATTACTTACCCCACACACTCACTATTTTCAAAACCATACAAACAAAAACCATATTATTTACCCCCACACACTCACTATTTTCAAAACCACACTTCTCCATCTCCACCTATAATATATCCACATACCCAAATTAAGTTGTTGGAGTTTCCCCCTCACCAACTCTATCATTGATCAATCCTCTTTTTTTTCTTTGTACTTAAATTGTATAATATTCATTGCGATGAGGACTCACCTGGATCCTCTGCTACCTTGAACGTCCAATAAAAAAATAATGTACTAGACCTTATAGTTAGTTAACAATGAGATCATATCATTATAAACAAATTAAGTAAAGATTAATAATTCTTAAGAATGCACTGAGTTCTCCTAGCTTTCATAGTAAACTTGTTAGTTGTTTATTCCTGACCCCAAGAGATTTTCAGAATTAATCTTGAGGGTTCCTTGCATTAAAAAAGTTCTGTTAGAGGGCCCACACAGTCTGTTTTATAGTTTAAGATTGTCAACACATTTTGTCTCTGATGCATATCAATTATAAGTAATAATATAATTTGATTGATCTAAGTATATCCTAAGATATTTCTGGACTCTTGTCTTTTATTTTGCTCTTTATTATATACCAACCTGATATCACAATTGATATAGATGATAAAGACACTATTGTAGAATTACCCATGAAAAAGATAAAGGTAGAGAATGATTGATCTTGGCTCAATTAAATATGAAAAAAGAAGGAATAAAAGATAATATTTTTTGAATATTTTATAGTAAAACTTAATTTTTTGAGTAAAATTAGGAACCTTCAGAAGGGATTTTGATGTAAATTTTTTAATATCCTTATGTGAATGATTTTGTCATATAGAATTATACTAGAGTCACCAATAATATTTAGTATTTATTTTTTTATTTTAAGTCTATCAATAATTAAGATGTCTTACAGTCTTGTGAAAAGTATGTACTCTGTGCCGAGCTTATACAAACCATCTTAATATCAAATATTTGGTTATATTTTATTAACACATCAACAATACATTATTGTATTTTTTTCAAACTTAACACTACATTTAATGACTAAGATAAACAAATTGGAGATCGATGATTTGATCCGATAAACAAATATGTTACATGAAGTTTGATATATACAAATTTTAAAAAATAATTTTGTGTATGCAAGTATAAAAAAGTATATTGATTACAGTTTTACACGCAAATCTATTTTATAAATTTTTTTTAAAAATGTTTAAATAAAATTTATGGTAAATATAATAATATATATTTAAAGATTAACTCAAGATGAATCTGACTTATTTTATAGCAAGAAAATAAACAAAAAAATATAAATAAGTTTGATTTTTAACTACGTGCATTGCACGTGCATAAGAACTAGTTTTCAATAAAATTATGAGAAGCGATAGTTCATGGGACAATATAGGACCGAAATAGTTCACAAGGTAAACACACATCAAATTTCAGTGGTTTAGAAAGCATATTGATGCTAAACAACAACTCAGAATATAGAAAGAGCTTTGCTATAGGGACCCAAAATATAGGACCAATAGAGGGGACAAGTGATGTGTCCCTCTCCTATTGGATAATGAGTTGACCATAGTAATGAGTTGACCATCATTAATTATGGCCAACTTATTATCCAATAGGAGGGGGACACCTCACTTGTCCCCTCTATTGGTGCCATATTTTGGGTCATTAACGGATTTAATAATTCTAATAATTTAGGGGAAAGCATGAACAGGGCATTTATTCTTTTTTGATTGCTGCAGCCCATGATCCTAGGTTGGGCCAGGTCTCTAACCATAGGAGTTTCTGCCGTCAGAGTCCACTCCGGCCCATTGACTCCCAAACTTCCAATTTGTGATGTGAACTTTTTTACATTTTTTAGCTTACTTGTTACTTTCGGAACTTTCCTCTTAAATTCCTATAAATTTTCAATCTTTTTCCATCCTTTCCTCAAAGAAAAAGCCAAACCCAAAAAGTACAATGTTTTTTTTCTTGGGAATTCATTGCGAAGCTCTAATTCTAGGTAATTTTTGTTGCTTTATCCTCTGTTTGTCTATTCTGAGATTAACCAAATTTCAACCTTTAAACCCTAAATTTGGAATACCCATTTGGGTTAATGGGTCAATTTAGTTGTAATAGATCTTTCCAGATGTTACATCAGATTTTAACCTGGATTTTATTTCTGTCTGGCAGCAAAGAATCTTCACTAAATTCAGAAAATACAGGCTGAAAATATCTTTCATGGGTTTATTATTTATTATGATTTTTTTTCCTTCTCCTTAGTTCTCAATTATTCTACCAAGCTCTCGCCTCTTTATATATTTCCCCCCTGCTTTCCATACTTTATTTCAATCTGAAATAGTTTGTTAATGATCGGCTAGAGTTCGGCGGCTTTGTCTTCGAATTTGCGTATGTGAAAGTAGCTTATTTAGATTTTTTGTATCCTTAAAGTTTGGTAATATGGTATATTATGTGGGTTTTGTCTCAAAATTCTATTGTGATTGGTTTTTGGAAATATCTTCAGTTTGTTAAAGCTTGTTTGGTGAGGATTGTTTTTTTTTTAATTGGGGTTGTAATAGAATATGATTATTTTAATTGGATTTACGTAATTATGTTCAGTTTGTCGAAATTTAGTGGCGATGATTAAATGCATTTGTTCTTTTATTATTACAGGCATTGGAAGCTGAGCTGACTGGAGGTGAATAATTTGTTAGCGTGGACTCTTTAGAAAGTTTCTGAATTATTGATAATAGTTGGAAGAACCTTGAAAAAGTATTTTGATATCGATTGAGCCAACTTCTGGAAGGACTGGAGGGAAGGAATTATGGGGTCCATTTGTTCGTGTTTGTGTTTAGAGAATTTGGAGGAGTACATCCGTTCTGATGCTTCCATGCATGGACATTGTGGCTGTCTCAGATGCTTGGCTCAACAATTACTCCACATGGTATGTTAGTGAACTTTTTTTAATTTCTAATGGAGTTCGATTCTGAAAAAGAATTGATGCTGCTTACGAAGAAATGGCATTTTCAGAAAGAATTGTCTCATAAAAACAAGACCATGAAGAAGAAGAAGACTTGATGAAATTATTTTCTTATTTTGTTCTATTACTGCTCGAATACCACCTGCCCAAGTTTATTTGTCTGGGAAATAAATTGATGAAATGTATACATTTGATTGTATTAATTAAATATGTAAATGCATAAATAATGCGCTATGATCATTTATCGGAAAAAGTAGCATTTTAAGCTTTTCACTTAGCACGAGTAAATGTGCTGTTAATACCTTTATAAATATAATACCATTGTAGAGAATACATGACCGTCAAAAGCGAGAGTTGTCTAAAATGCTAGTAGATGTGATCCTTCCAGGATCTGAAAGAATGTGGTATCATATTATGAATCTTTTGCTGTATTCCTGTCGTGTTGTTTCATTAATTTATTTTCATACATGTAAACTTGGTAGATATTTCCAACTTCTTTGTATATAAATTAATGGTCATGAGGGAATGGTGTCTTCTTCTTTTCCCTGCCAAGATACAACTCTGGAAATAATGAATGCAACTGAAAGAATATTGGTCGAGATGGATGAGTGCATGAGAAGTGGATAGATATGGAATGAACAGGTTCTGAAGAAGCTAGAAGTAGCTTCAACTGATGCGAATATGAAGGAGAACCATTCAAGTTGCCAAGTGGGTAGAGCTTGTTCAATGGAAGCAGATTTCTCAGCATTAGAAGTATGAATGGAGCTGTTATGGGTTGTGGGTAGACCGAAACTGATGTGTTTGATAATGTAAAAAGGACGCCAATAGTTGCCAACTTAATGAAAGACATGGCTCTAAGTAGTCCTGATTCCCCCGAATAGGAGATAAAAGTTTCAACTTCTCCTAGGAAATTGGAATAAAGGCTTTGTTAGCGGTATTACTTTTGGCTAACAAAGCGAGTTAATTATGCAAACAAGAAAAATAACCTGTCATTGAGGATGATTGGTAGACCATCCTTTGCAAAAAATCTTCAAATGATGCAATGCAAATTAAGTTAGAATGAAGACACTAACATCTCAATTGATGAAATATTAGTTAAAGTTTAAGCTTGAAAAAGGCATAAGGAGCTCCAAAAATTCTGCAGCAATGTTAACAGTCCAGTAGAAATGAATTTAGAGCATACTCATTCTCATCTACATATATAACCTCTCATCTGGAAGGTCCAAATATAATTTTCACATGTGCTTTATTTCCTATACCTTTTACGCATCATTGCTAACAAAAGTAAGTTGGTGACCACGAGTTAATCCTTTGATGTGAGGTTATTTCCTGTTCTAATAGAATACTGGTTGGCCATTTTAGGCTTGACTGGGAGTTTGTTTTTCAATTAATAAGTTTGGTACTTGGATTACCAGAATACTATTAGATTTATATGTGTTCCATCAGGTTGCAGTTTGGAGTTTGCAAGGTGATATGATGTTTTTCTCTCTTTTTTTCATTTGCAGTACACTGCATTCTTACAAAGGCAGGAAGTGAGTGCAGTCCCTTTGGACGATCAGGGAATGGATTCCTTTCATTCCTCTACATCAGTCATGGACAATTCAACATGTGACACTTATCGTTCTCCTCCCAGACCTCTACCTTATGATGATCCAAGATCCTCTCAAGTGCAGCTTGGTGAACTTTTATCTAGGCGTGAGAAGCCGTCAAGCCATGAGGAAAATGAAGCACTTACAGGAAGTAATAATGGTACTGACTTGGAAATGAGCACAACAAAATTTAGCGGATCTAGTTATGAGGCCGCTTCCAAGTTATATCGTTCTAAGTCCTCATTGAAGGAAACATCACCAGAAATTCCTAATGCAATGACATACTTTCATTCATATGAAGATGCAGAATGCCCAACATGTCTTGAAGGTATATACCTCTTTTTACCTTATTCGATTTTGTTGTTTTTGCAGTAGGCTTATAAATCAGAATTTTTGAATTTAACTTTATCGCCACATATCCATTTGGCCTTTTAAAATGGAAAAGAAGCCTTTCACACAAAAGTTGGTTAATGAGTGGATAATAAATTTACATATTAAGTCTGTATAAATTATAGAACATCAAAGATACAGTTTAAAAGCATCATCACCGTATCCATGAACTCCTCCGAAAAAGCTTGAAATGGCCCCATGTTGAAAGTATAACATAACTTGAGAGTATGAAGTCCGAAATAGCATTAGGTCAAATCATGCAGTAACAATCTGGCATCTTGGCAAGCAGGCCAATTATCACCTGGTCAAATCTAGCTCCAAATGCCTCCATGTTTCATGTCACTGCTGACCTATAGAAAATAATGCACTTGCATTAACTTTGCTTCCGATTTCCTCACCTACATGTAAGAAAATTAGAGGGAGAATGTAGTGCTAAGTTTTTGCTTTCTTTACCTCTATTTTTGAAACTGCTATTGGTCGTACCATTTTGGATCCGCAACACATGAATGCAAATTGCTTCTCTGATATTTTCATATTCAAAAAATTAAATACATTCCAAATATACCCTGATTCCTTAGTTACCTAATACCAAAAATAAAATGATTGTCATTCCCGCTTCATTCTCTAATCACACCTAAACGTGAGAATTGAAATGAGCATTTTCCCACATTTGTTCCATTTCATTCCTTCATTCCATTTTCACTTGACTCGATTCCTGCATACCAAACGAGTTGTTAATCTTATGTGCATAGTTGCACGGAACCCGATTTGTTCCGGTTCATGAACGGGAACAATAGCGTGGTACGCCAAATATTGGGTATCAGGTATGAGGGGGTAGGCTTATATGGTATGCTCTAGAACGTGGTACACTTTAGGTTTGGTTTTTACATGTAGGAATCTGAGTGCCTTAAATGTACAATTTTCTGCGAGAGTCGAATTGAAAGATTAGTACTGGTAAAAGAATTCTCAAGTTGCAATTGAGGTACTTTTTTTTCAAAATATTAACTAATTTTAATTGTAATCTATTGTCCCGGTGCATGTGATGCGTGTGTGACACCAAATATAAAGGAATGTTGTGGTTGAATTGTTAAGGGAAATTTTGATTGATTATTTCCTATGAAGCACGGATACTCCCCCAGAGGCCACGAATCCGTGTCTGACACGAATCAGACACGATTCGCGCAGGACACGTGCACGACACGTGTCGTACACGGTCAATCTGTGTCCGACACGGGTCAACGGTCAAAGTTGGCCGGACACGGTCAACAGGGAGTTGGACACGGCTCAGACACGCCCGCTGCGCCCGACGGAAGCAAAAAAAGAAGAAAAAAAGAAGCGGTGGCTAGGGTTATTGGGTTATTGGGTACATACCCGATTTCCACTTGAACCCGAAAATCAAAAGAAGCGGTTCCTAGGGTTTTTTGTCGCTCCTTCTCCAACTCTTTCTCCCGAAAGAAAAAGGAAGCAGCGATCTCCACTCAGCAGGGCGAGGGCGACGGCGAGCGGCGACAGAGAACGGCAAGCAGGGGCGAAGGCGACGGGCAACGGGCGACGGCGACCCGATACGTGCACGACACGTGTCGGACACGGTCAATCCGTGTCCGACACGGGTCAACGGTCAAAGTTGGCCAGACACGGTCAACAGGGAGTTGGACACGGCTCAGACACGCCTGCAGCGCCTGACGGAAGCTAAAAAAGAAGCAAAAAGAAGCGGTGGCTAGGATTATTGGGTTATTGGGTACATACCCGATTTCCACTATAACTATTAAGCCATTTACTGTTAACTGTTAATGGTTTCTTATTTAACTATAAAGCAATGTTTTTGAATGTTTAACTGTTAATTATTTGAGATAGTAAGTAAGTAAACTGATTTTTAATTAATAATAGGTAATTATTAAAGTTTGGTTTGTGGACTATTTTGATTAATAATAGGAGAGATTTAAGGAGAGATTTGTTTAACTGTTGAAATGTAACTATTTTACAAAGTGAGATTTAAGGAGAGATTTATCTTAACTGTTAACTACTGGTTTTTTTATTATTATCACTGTTAATTGTTAACTGTTTTTTGCAAAACTAATTGCTTGTTTCTTATTAATACATATCGGTCATAATTGTTGAAAATGTGCTACGATTTGTTTTCATGTGCGAGATTGCGAGAGTGCGAGTATTGATTCTTGCTATTGAGCTATGCCTAGTGCGACTAGTTGACTTGAAAGTTGAAACTTAAAACTTGATTCGCCATTTGTAACCTGTAAAGAAGAAAATAAAATTTAGTAATATAGTTGTTAGTGATGCAATATACTAGTATGAAAGTTTGAATAGTTTGCAAGCTTGAATGAAAATTAACGTACAAGTTTAATACTTTAATTGACTAAAATATTCTATATATAATAATAATTTTTAAAAAAATTCCCTGCCGTATCCCCGTATCCTATTTTTTTAGATTTTTCCGTATCCCGTATCCGTGTCCGTGTCGTATCCGTGTCCCGTATCCGTATCCGTGCATCATAGATTATTTCTTTTTTGGTGGATTTTTTGAAGTGTGAGGGCATTTCCTTATACTTTTTTTAAGCTTAATGACATTTTTGTAGTTTTTTGTTTCTATGTGAGGGATTTTCTTAGTTTTTCCAAGTATGAGGGCATTTTAGGCAGTCTAAAAATGTGGCTCACACAACCAAAAGTGGAGCTTCTCTTATATATAGTATAGATCGGGTTGCCGTAGTGTACCACGTTCCAGGACGGTTGAATGTGTATCATGGTTCGCTATAGTGTCCCACGTCCCCAAAATCTGTGCTCGTGATTTAATCACATCAACATTGTAGTCCTTAAATACCTAGGCTTTACGTGTTATGATGCACATGCTCATAACTGTATGTAATGCATGCACATGGATCTCTGCTCTGACATGACATGTATATTTGCACAACAGAAAGTTTTGCATGTTGTGTGTGCATGCATGTGTACTATATGACAAATGTTCTTTTACATTTTAGATTAAAGTGAAATTGCGTGCTTCCAATATTGACACATGTTTCTGTGGTGTCATTTTGAACTTTGTTTGTCATGATGTTATTTTGCAGAGTATACTTATGAGAACCCAAGGATAGTAATGAAGTGCTCCCACCATTTCCACCTCAGTTGTATATATGAATGGCAAGAGAGGAGTGAATGGTGTCCAGTTTGTGGCAAGGTAATATGTTCATTCCACTGGTAATTACGTATATTTCCTCATTTTTCAGCTTATCGGCATCCACTTGCTGAAGCTTATGTCACAACTCTCTGATGGACTCCTTACTTACCCTGCTTTCTCCTTCACAGGTGATGGTGTTTAATGAAACATAGTCCTCATGCCCATAAACTCTGTCCATATGTAACATAAGCCGATTCTTCATTACTGTATTTCAAGCAGTTGTACATATCCTATGTATGTTTCCATATGAAACATTTGGTTGGAGTGGATTTGTCTTATAATTTATGCGTGAAGGGCAAGGGGTGCAATGTTGGTGCAAGTGGTCAAGTGCTCAAGCACAATATGTAAAAATTCTCATGATTTGTAAATACGACGCATCGTTTCCTTGTCATGCCTTATTTATTTCTTGAGTTACTTGGATTCCGGGGAAGCTTATTGTGGTGCATCAATTTAAACAATCTTTTCACACTTTAAATTCTTCAGAAAGAAATCCTTGCCATGGGTTTGTTCCCCTTTGATGAGTTTTCGCATTGTGTTATCATGATCCAGATTATCATTTTCCAATTTTTCCATCATCATCATGACGAAAGTAATTTTGCCTCAGAAGTATCTTCCTTGAGTGATTTTTTTTTCTTTTTCCTTTTTATTTATATATTGTGGGAGTAAAGAAAGAAGGGGAATAGAACCCTGTTCATATTTATATATAAATAAAAGTTACAGGTAGTATATACATCAAAAGGAGTTATCTCAAAAAAATTGGAAGTTCCTTTTCATAGAGGTTAAAGGCCTTCTCCCTTAAGGCATCCGTGAGGGTGATGAGAGGATATATATATCGGCATTCACCATGTGCACAGATACCCTGAGGGGCCAAGGGCAGACATTTAACATATGAAATGGATCNTGCAAAGATACTCTACAGCAACAAACCAAATTCAGACACAAAAAGACCAAGAATAGTTAAAACTGACCCTCCTGAACATGACGAGAGAGCTCTCCCTGAGCGTTCTACTCCTTTTTCCCCTCTTAACAACTTCAGCGCCTTGACCTAACAGATATTGCTTCAGATTACTCGCCTCTTTGCTGCATGAACGACCCGACATGACAAGAAATGCGCAGCATCACAAGACAAAACATACCTACATACCTCCTTCGATCGTGAAGTGCTCATCTATCTCCACCCTGACCGCTCTAGCAACCACCATTGAGACGCCAAATGCATAGGAATCTCAAGCCTTGCAAGCACCAACTTTAAACAAATTGCTTTCTTTTTAGATGATGCCCTTGCCCATTAAATGCAAAATGACGCAAAGTATGAGCCACCATTTCATTAACTGAACAAAGCTCGTCATTAAAGATTTTATCGTTCCTCCTTGACAACAAAAGAGAACAGCAAACAGGGAATAGAAACTGCCATAAAAACTTAGCATCTTCATTGGGCATGAAATCACCTCCAGATTCGATTAAAGCTTCGAAACAAGATGGCCAATTTGCAATACGTAAAAGATCAATAAAAAAAAATCTCCAAATTTGCGAAGAAAAAGGACAGCTGAAAAACAAATAGTCATCTGATTCTGTTGCATTCGAACAGAAAGAACACTGAGTGTTGCCGATCCAAATCCCATCTTTGTTTATGGCTGAAAGACCGAATCATTTTCTGTCGATGGTTTAGCCGAGCTTGAAAGAAGCAATAGATCTTCTTTTTGTTTCTTCTCTGCGATAAACCTGGCTCCCCTCCAACATGGATGTCGAAGCCATGCACCTGAGATAAAACTTCCTTGGGACAAAACCACAACATTTGAAGACCACGGTAAGTTATAACACAAAGGAAACAATTTCCTCTATATGAAATGTCACTAAGCCGCTCATCCTCCGGAAAACCTGAAGGATGATCCCTTTCCTAAATTTCAGGGAACAAAACTAAAGTTTGCCCGGCACAAGATTTGATACCAAATGATTATCAATTTAAAGACTGCCTTAGTTTTAAGAGTTTTAAGGCAAATTAATAAAATGATTATATACAGACAGCATAAAAGCACAAATGCGAAAAATCACACTTTAACACCTAATATTGCATCCGTCTGTCACAAAACTGGATGATCGAATTTGGCAATCTATTCTGATTAATCTATACCACATAAGATAAGGATTAACTAGTCAATTTAACACTTGTTCTTTACATTTAAACAAGCTATTTGAATGAGACACAACATAATATACATTACATTGTCATACGAACAGAAAGGACACAAAGAACCAAGGAGCCACCAAATATATGAAGACCTCATACACAATAATTTAATTTCATATCTTCAGAGTAGTCATGGACCATGGAAGCTATGTTATTTCACTAGCTCACGGAAGCTATTTCCTCATATCTCATTCTCTATGCAGAGGATACCCGGTAAGTTGTTTTAAGGATCGATATCATCTTTCCATAACAGGGCGAATCATCCAGGCAGGGAGACCACTGCTGTTGACAGAGGTTAGAGGTCGTGTTGCTTCTTCCTCCTCTGAGCTACCATTTGCTTGATGTATTCTGCAAATTAACATACATGTCAAGATAATTATAAAAAAAAAATTCTCCCCGTTTACGGGTCTGATTTCTTAAGCTTTTTGAACTAATTGTATCTTTCACTAATGAAATCAGAACTAGGGTGTTCAATAACAGTCAAAGATGTAAAAATGGCATAAACTTATAGAGGATACATGATAACCTCATGTTTAGAGAGCGAACTGGTTCTTGTACAAGTATGGGAGGCGGTGAGGAGGATCCGGCATGAGGTTGACCTTGCTGCTCTTGTTGTGCCTGTTGTGTCAATGCCTTCGTCTTCTCTTTTTCAATGATCTGTTTTGCCAGTTCATAGAATTTTTAAGAAGATACTTCTATAAAGCTGAAAATGAACAAGGGAATGTTCATCAACTTGTGAAGATGAGAAGCATGAGTTACCTTCTTTTGAAGATCCCTATTATATTCTTGTAGCTCTCTTTCCTGGCAGAACACCAATAATGAGATATAGAACAGGAACCATAGTCTCAAGTACAACCTTATCATCATGTATACATGTTTAAGCAAAGCAATTACGAGAGTGGAAACAAAATAGAAATTCTCACGTAGGCAAGTAAGTTAGGACAACAACTGATATAATGAAGTAGGAAAGGATAATGTATAAGATAGATAAAAGAATCCAGTGATTCTAGGCCATTGCATTAATGATATACGAAGAAGAAATATATATATATATAAAATAATCATTTAATTAGTACACTATAGTGTGCATCTAAGTTAAGCAAACAACTGAAATAAAATAGGAAAGACAAATGTTCGGGGACAGAGAAAGGTAAAGAGTAAATTACACTAGTCCCCCATGAACTTTTAGTTTTTTGCAGTGACCCCAATGAACTTTCATAATCGCAGCTAAATCCCAAATAACTTTTGAAGAAAACTCCCCCACACATTTTAGGTAAATTACGCTAAACCCAACAACTTTCAAAATGCCTCTATGTTGTTCTTTTGTTCTAATTTATGGGGGTTATCTATAACACTCGGAAAGTTATTGGGGGTTTTCTGTAATTTCAAAAAGTTATTGTGGGTTTAGTTCGATTTTTGAAAGTTCATGTGGGTTTAATGCAAAATACTGAAAATTCATGGGGGTTTAGTGTAATTTACCCTAAGAGTAACATGTGCGGTTCCAGACCATCGTATTAATAGTTTACCAAAGAATAATTATTGGATTACTAAATTAATCCCTAAGTTTTATTGTTTTCAACTTTGTCAAGTACATGGTTCCACAAGATATATTACACACATACAATCAGTATCTTTAGCGAGTACAGAGTTCAGCCTGGCAAAAAGCACTCATAAAATAGTAAAGCCGATATTTCATTATCATATAGCAACGGGGGTTTTATTTACGGAGGTGACACAGGTGCAAGAGCGCAGGTATTTCTGGCCCTAATTAAGTAGGGAATAACTTATATGAGTAATGCCCGCCAAGTCCATAGACAGGTATATCTGCGCTATGCCCGCAATGTTATCCAGATCGATCATTTTCAGCGAATATCAGGCTTGAATCATTAGAGAAGAACCATCAGGTGATGGAATTGAGTCTCTCCGGTTGCAAAAGTTGATCATGTTAACATTTATCCTTGTATTTCAGATAATTGTCCTAGTTGGACTTGGATTAGAATTTAATTAGGAAAATTAATTGCAATGGGAATTAAATAATAATTAGAAGAAAATTAGAATGGATAATCCAAGTCAAAGAAGAAATCCTACACAAATTAAAGATAGAGCAAAACGTTTTTATATACCTCTTAAGAGGTTCATTGTAGATCAATCCACGAAATACTAAGGAGATCGAGTTGCATATTGTAAAAGAGAGGTAGAGAGAAACTAAGGGGAGAAATCAGAAATGTAGAGTTTGTGCGAAACTTTTTTAGTGAAATTGAAAGAGGATTTCTTGCAGGTTTTTCAAGGGCGCAAGAAAGTTCGTATCTTGTGTAATCCATGCTAAAATAAAACTCAACCATGAAAGTCGGGAGCTTGAAATGCTATAACTAACCACAACCTAGGTTCAATCATCCCAAAAGCTTGCTTAAACACAACCAGTTCACTAAATTCAGCAACCCGGTTTAGAATATAAACTAGTAAATTTTGACAAGAAAAAAAACTTATTCAAAAGAATAAACAACGAAAAAATGTGAGAAATTAAGCAAATTAAGTATGCTTACCTTAATTATGATATGATTCCTAAGATTCTTTTATCATCAAGATTGCTGATAGCGGATAGCGACGCGTCGCGGCGAGGTACCGCTAAGGCTATTTGAGGCTATTGCGGCAAAATAGCGGCAAATAGCTCACAGTCAAATAGCGGTCAAATATAAATATGTTTCATGATTTTTAACCCAAAATAAAATAACCATAAATATAAAAAACGCACTTGTGGTTCTATAAGCTATTATCTAGTTGAAAGCAAGCTTTTGTAAGATCAGTAAAGTTTTACTACCTTTGATTTTATAGTTCTTGTTGTTCGGAAACCATTTTACTAATAGGATCCACCTTTCACTTTAACTTTTTTATGTAACTTCAACTTATGTATATAGTATACTCTTTGGCAGTCAGTTATGATTAATGTGCTTAAAATATGCCTTGATGTTTACTGTAAATGTGTTTTTTCAGGCTTATTTATGTAGGCAAGCAGCTGGCAAATGATTAATGTGCTTAAAAAAGTGATTATTACCTTTTTCTCTTTGTTGCAGACGAAGCCCAACAGAGAGGAGAGGTTGTTGTTGCTAGTCGCTGGAGGGAAGGTTTAGTGTCCACCGTCTCACCGTAGGAAAGTTTGGGACCTACTGATGTCACCGGAGGAAGTGAGAGAGAGAGAAAGGTAGATGGGCTTGACCGGTGGTGGCGGGAGATGTTGCCTGTGACGAGTTGGGGCAGGGGAGTGAGTACGAGAGAGAGGCACACGAAAGGGAGAGGCACGGCTAGTGGCTAGGGCACAAGAGGAAGATGGGTTTTAACTTTTCAAGTGATGGATTCGGGTCGGGATTTGGGTCGGGTTCGGGGAGGGTTAAATCATATGGGTTTAGCGCTAAAAACCGCTTTTAAGCACTTTTTAGAGCTAAAACCTGCGATGTCGCGCTGAAACTCGCGATTTCGAGAAAAAGGCGGTTTTCTCCGCTAAAACACCTCGCAATCCCCCTACGCAGCACGATGAAGCTTTGCGACCGCGAAAAGCATCGCTATTTCCTGCTTTTTACAACATTGTTTATCATTACTGATATCAAATAGCATATTTCCTAAATTTGACTCTTGTGGAATCTCTGATTCCTACATTTAAGAACTAAACCTAAAATGTACCACATCCCCTGGCGCATCGTATAAACATACCCCCCGTATCTGATTCCTAATAAGTAGCGTACCACTCTCTCGTACCTTCTCGTGAACCAAAATGAACCTAGTTTCATGCAACTATGGTCAACCCTCTCCTTGTGGACGTAGGCGATGGCAAAACCAAGTAAGTCGCATGTTTGTGTTTTTATATTCTTTTTCGCGGGTTGATTTCTTTTCTCTTTAGTTGGAACACATATTTCTTGGTGTTTCGCTATCACCGGGTGATCAATTATCTACAAAGGAGAATATCTAATTGAGAGTTTCAGTAATGTTTTCACAAGTAACATTTCCGCATAGAACACCAGTTGGTACCCAACAATTGATATTGGTAGGTGTGCACCAACACTTATTTTAAGTTAGGTGTGGGCCTAGGTTACCCGAACATTTCGTCTAGGCAACCATATCCTTATTCGACACTTCTCGTATTTGTGTCTATGTCATACACTCCTTGGATGGACACTTCTTTATTCAGATGTGTACTCAATGTATAACACATGTTTTAGGTTAAGAACTTGTGATACACTTCTTAAACATATATTGTACACTTAACCTCAAAATGCAACATGCTGGACTCTGGACTAGTTCGTTTTAGCACATGTCTAGAGTATAATTTTAAAGGGTCGTTTGGATATCTACTTAAAAAAATGACTCGTATTTCAATTTATAATCTACTAAATAAAAGAATCATTAAAATGGTAATGAGGATTTTAGTTCTCAAAACATGTGAATGCAAAATAAGATTGATCTGATCTAGATTATTAGTTTTAATTTGTACTTATATAGTCGTGTCCTCATATCCTAACTTTTACAATTTTGACGTGTCCCGTATCCACACTCGTGTATGTTTGCACCAGTGCCCTTATCCATGCAACATAGGTGTGCGCTAACGGTTATTTTATTAAAAATAATGGATACTCTTCTGAGAGAAGTTCAGAAATGAGGCATTAAATGGGTAATTAAGGTTAAAGCTGGCCAAACCAAAATAGCATAAATACTAGTTAAGTGAGAGAAAAGATGGAGGTTAGCCATGGTGGATGGTCAGGTCACTAGAATCATCGTCAAGAGTCCAAGAAGACAAGTATCTTTATTATTCTTTCTTCTTCACCCTCTTTATTCTCAAATCTAAATGTCCCAATCTAATAAGTTTGGTCAACCCTTTGATCAAAGTCAATAGGATCTTGATTGCGTCCTATGCTATTAATATCTGTTGAATGTCTGTAGACAAACTCAGATCGAACTTTATCCTAGTTTTCTAGTTTTCAAATAACTTAGATTATCTCCAATTTTTGTAAATTGTTTTCATTTCTACTACTTGGATTAGTTTTGTTTACTCATATAAGAACCAAATCAAAAAGTTTTCATATATGTCGAGAGTTTTTTAGTTTTGTAGGCACTTTTGATGTATAATTTGTCTGTCATTTTTTCTTCACCCTGAACATTAGTTTGACGTGTCTAATGTGTGACTTGTGGATTGCTTGTGCAATTGTGGTACAGTGTTGTTAGCAGTCTTTTATGTTAGATTTGATATTTTCAAAATAATGCTCCTGTAGTCTATCAGAAGCCTTTAAGTTTGATAGTCACTTTTGATATATGATTTTTCTATCATTTTCCCTTTGCCCTTTTGGCATTAATCATTGTGTCTATGAGTCACTGGCTTGTAGATTTCTCTTTTTTTTTTCGTGCTCTTGTGCTTCTACTTTGTTAGCAATATTTTACGTTGAACATTTGATGATTTCAAAGTAGTGTTCCTACGTAGTTCAAACGACAAACCTTAAAAGTGTTCCAAAGAATTAAGTTTAAAAAATTTAAGTGAAGACCACAGTAGAAAGTTGTTTGCAACTTTGAATAAAAATCAGATGTACCATAGATAAACTCTACATAGACTATGCTGCATGCATACATCTAAAGAGAAGTGCATATATAAATCTACTGTGTCACATATATACACATTGGCATGTATCTAGCAAAAGGTTCATAAACATAGATCGTAATCATTTTCCTCAAGTGAATTGTTGGTTCACATCTGTTTTCTCTTGAAAAAGGGAAAAAATATTGTCTACATCGATCAAGTAGATAGACAAACATACAATTAA